CTGCTGGGGTTAAACCATGACACCCACGTAACAACAATTTGCTTCGTTTTTAGTGTCAATTCTGTAAACTCAGGGCAACAATTCTGAATGGCACTTTTTGGAGGAAAGCAAAGGGAACAGCTTGTGTTTAATCTGGGAATTGCACAATGTTAGTAGAAATAAATCCAGATAACTATCATCATCTCAGTTAGGCTAGTCTCTGAAAGGCAGTCATAAAACATTCTGCTTGCACATTTTTAAGCATCTACTTGAGAAGCAGGAAAACAGCCTCCTTTCAGAAATATTAATAAAGCACAACTAACATTTTTTAGAGGAAACAGTGGCCACCTGAACATAGCAACAAGAAATAAAAAGTTTAAGGTCTGATAATTCTCCATAGAAAAAAACCCCACTCCATACAGAAGAGTTCCCTCAGATTAAACTTTGCCATCCACCCCCCAAGTTTCTGTATGAGGAGAAGTAATCACTGTTAGGACAGGGCGATTCATACAAGATTTTACAGTTATGTAATACAATAAGTTTAAAAGCTAAATTAAGATAAGATCATCTGTGCCCAATATCTGCCTTCTGGGACATAAACCAGCAAAGATGTCCTATTTTTGTGCATAACACTTACAATGCATTAAACCCAGCAGCACTAATGAACACAGTAAAGACTGCACTTTGGTTTACAAGCACTAATGAAACAGCAGTTCCTGTCAGAAAGAGTTCACTGTTTCTATTATTATTCCTTAAATTGCTATGTAATTTAGCAAAGCTACCAAGACATTTTAAGCACAGAAATGAACCCTGTCCCAAATACACAGTAAACCCCAGAGGAAAAAACCCAACCGCTATTTGTGTTGCAGAAAAAAAGCAAACATATCCTTGGCATTCTGTTTATGTTTCAGTTTACAACAGCAGAAAGACACAAGCAATAATGTTAAATTTTCCATATAGTAGTATATGCAAAGAAATAAAAGCAACAATCTTATTTTAGGTCAAATATCCAATTACTCTGAAGTCAAGTTGATCAAACTGAATTTCAGTGATCAAGCTGAATTTCCAACATACCTTCTTTTCCACTCTCTTTCATTTTTTCATCTTGCTCTATTAACCATTTCAAAACTAGATGGCCTGCTGGATGTTCTGCAATGTGAAGCTTTAAGGGGAATAGACAAAACAAAACAAAACCAAATTACTTAGTGATGATGCTTCAAAATGCAGTTACATGACTGGCCATAAATATTTCTGCTTGAGTTATGTGCCATCAGACACCTCATCACACTGATTCATTTAGTCACCACCTATGCAAATATCAATGAGTTTCATGCAAGTTTCTGAATACTCATTCAAACTGACCAGTTTAATTTTTATCATCTTCCCCGTAGCATAAGAACTTTCTGTAATATAAATCCTATCAACCAACTTTTCATCCACCCCTCCAAGGACTTAGTTCTTACTGAGCAGAATCTCTTGGTTTGGCTGCCTTTGCAAGAACTTCCAGACTTCCCATGTTTTCTCAGACCTTAAAATTCACTATGGTATGGTTCACACAAAGTGTGAACAGAAGTATGTCATGTAGAGTTCTGTTAAATGTGCCTCTTAAAGAAGGTGAAAGACAGAGCAAATCCAGCACAATCTAGAGAGCATATATCTTAAATGGAGTGTACACTGCAATTTCTGTTTTCTAGACTATGGACACGTATCTCACTGAGTTTAACTGAACAAAATAGGGGAGGGGCACCCTTTGAAGAGAAGATCATAATGTAAAGACAAACGGCTGTTATCTAAAATCTTCCCTTGCTTGGAGATATGCACACCTGAAAACTAAGAGACCCTGCCATTCTCAATATATCAGTCAAATGACCTATAAAAGCTTACCAAGTGCTTAACTGCATAGTGATAACACTAACAGAGAGACCATGTAACATGCTCGTCAGCTACCTTCCCAGGAAGTGCTTAAGACAATTCTGAAGATTCAAGATCATTGAAGTACCTTGCTCTACAATTCATCTGAACAGCTGGCTCAAACCTCCAGCACTCCAGGTACAATAATAATTAACTACAAGATCAACATATCAGAAAACAGGATCATGTCTAATGTATGAGTGCTATCAGGGCAGTATGCTGATGTCTTGCATAAAAGATAGTAGATCTCATTTTATTAATACAAAGGATCTGCAAGATCTCAGCACCTTGTCCTCTGTACATTACCTGTCCATCACAGCCACCTGGAACCAGCTCTTCCGCTGCTAAATTAGCAATTGCATCTAGTGCAGGCTGTATGTCACCAAGAGCTGTTCTTAAGATGTCAGCAACCAAGACAAAGGTAGCTTTGTCTACCACTACTTCTTTGGTATGTTCTTCCAAATATTTTAGCAAAGGTGAGGAAATGGCTTCCAGGAGTTCACGGCGACGGAGTTCAGTATTCTTCTTACTGATTAAAGAGACAGCAGGTTACTGCAGAAGACTTGCTCTGTACATGCACATCATGCAACCAGAAATTCAGAACATATATGCTACTTGAGACAGAAAATAAAGCATTATTCTTCCCTCTCTTTCACATACAATTAAACACACATTGCACACACAATTTAAAAACACACGAAGTGAGAATGTGTTTAAACCTGACTGCCTTTAAACCTCAGAGTATTTTGTTACTGATAGCTTACCCTCTGATTATTTTTTTAGTTGTGGTCTCAGCTACCGAGATACATTTCTTAAACAGCTCACTAATCATCTAAAACTGCTCCTTCTTCAAAAGCTGATAAGCATCAATGTCAATAACCAGAGATTGAACCAAAATTAACAATTTCCATTTTTAATGCTAGATTTTTGAGACATACTTTAAAGCAACTCAAAAAACCAGTAGTGCCAAGTACAGGTTTTCTTCTACACCAAATTTGATACAGGAGTTTACACAAAAAGTGTATCACTGTATTTGCACTTTACAAAGGGGGTAAACTGCTGTTCACCGATACACCGCTGGTTACCAATCATCGTATATGAAATTTAAACAAGAAAAACCCCAAAAACTAAGGCAGATTAATGTATCAAATACTACTTATGTATTTATTTACATACATTTACATTACTTAGATTTATTATGAAGAAAAGTTGAAATTCAATACTGACAGAGAGTTGCATGAACTCTTCTAACCTATCTGAAGTTAACAATTTAACATTTCTGAGTTACCTATAGGCATTTCCATCTCCGTGTTGCAGAAGTGTGATGATTTCTGGAACAAAATGTGCAGGGTCTCTAGGACTTAGCAAGTACAACAAGACCTTCTTTCCATATTTGTTGTTTATTATATTGGGCAAAGAAGCATTTATTTCCTGTAAATGAACAGCAACAAAGCATTAATGAAATACTAGTTCTTGGTCGCCTTCTGTGCCAGAACTGTGAGAAAGTACAAGGAGAAACCCTAAATGACACAGACATACTATCTCTCCTTGGTAGTATCTCCCCAGCACAGTTTTTGTGGAGTCCTCATGAAAGAGGGATCATGTGCTAAAACCTGCCTGAACCTTACACATGCCAAGTTCACAATGTACAGTTCCAATCGCATATGGAGTTTCAAAGCACCACACATTCTCTGGTCCTGGTAAGACTCTGAGGAGCTGAGAGATGATGAGAAGACATTCCTTGAATGATTTAAGTATTTAAAACCTTCCCTTACCTACAAATTCCCAGCTATAGTGTCAATCCACATAAATGACAAGGCTTATAAGACTACTGAAAAAAACACAAACAAACAAACAAAAAACCCAGTACAAGCTTTGCACAAGCACGACCTTTTCTCCTTCTCAAATCTTATTAGTTTATTTACCTTCCTAATGCTAAATTTTATTATGGATAGAATGATAATCAGTGTAAGGTATTTTGGAAGTCTAACTGCTCTTTGAGAAAATTTTAAGGGTTCGATTCTTCTAAAGATTATGCTTCAATGCTTGAATTTAAGATGCCCCCATCTCAACATCTGCTACTAGTTTACATTCACTGTCTGAAGAGCAGATCTTATCTGTTATTTTTTTTCCTTTTTCCTGCCATCCTTTCCCCATTCCTAACCTCATACACACCCAGATAGGCCAATTCTGTATGTGTGAAGGCCACTTCTCCTTGTTCACCTTTACTCTTCTGTCCAGATTGATGTGGTAGGATGACCAAACAGTAAATCTTTCATTCTCTTTGATGATGGATTAATTCCTAATCTCAGAACATTTGCCTTATTGTATCTCCCTGCCACTGCCTCTAAACTGCAGACTTTAAAGTTATAGGATGAATACCACTATCAGCAGATTACAACATGTACATCAATGTTAATAACCCTGCATGCAGGATGCAAATATTTTTGCTTACAAAATGGAAATGGTAACATCCTCCTTCTAGAGTTTTCCACCGATTTAATCTTTTGAAATAGTAGCAGAGTTCAAACTTCCACAACACGAGACACTGACTTTAAAGTAACTCCAGTCATCCATTAGGCAGAATGAACATGCACAAAAAGGATAAATTTCAGCAAGCACTGAATCTGGCTTAAAAACTAATTCAAATAAATAAAAAAAAAATGGCATATCAAAGTGCTATGGTCTGCTATGAATAGAAAAACCTAATCATGATACACATACATAATGAAACAGCAGAGATGAAAAGTATTTAAATAGTTTAAAAAAGCAGATGGATTTCTACTCTCATCGTCCACTACACTGACAAACAGACTGACACTAACTATATAATACACTATTCTAGGAAAAATTGAATTACTTACTGATATAATTAACTGTTTCACAAGTTTAGTGTCATCAATGCAATCAAATGCTGCCAGCAAGACCAGATGAGAAAATTCACCCTGCAAAGATGAGACATCAGAAATCACATGGTCAAGTTTTATGAATATACTAATCGAATTAGAATCAGTACTTCTGAGAGTTTGTCATCTGAAACATAACACAACATGAACCACAAGCAAATTCTGACTACTGTCACAGCAAAAGAGAAGCCCAACATTGAGGCACTCTCTAAATGTAAGGCTTATTAAGAGAAATATGTTGTTTAAACAAAGGTATTCCTGCCATTTTAGGTGGATATACTGTTTTATCACATCCAAGGTATTAAGCTAATTCTATTGTGTAATCATAATTTGAAATCATAGGATTTGTCCTGCAGAAACATTACATACAGATTTTATTTCCACGGTGGACTTGCTTAAAACTGAGTTAAGCCACATATCGTGGTTTTGGAGGTCGTGCCTCTCCAATGAGCCATACAGCTCATATTTCACTGCTGCAGAGCAAGTCCCTAGCATATTCAAAGGGGTATAACACAATTCACTTGTACATAAGTGAGAGTCTACATCCAAGCGAAGCCAGACCTTCAGTGGTCTGGTGTTGCTTTAGCTATTATTTAGTCACTGCCTCATATTTCCGTATAATTTATAAACCACAACAACTCATTTATTCTGGTACTAGAAAAGTATGGAGAGAAATATTACTTAGACCAGTGGCCCCCAAAGTGGGTTCCACAAGACAATCCATTGCAGAGCAGAAAGAAAATAATTTTTGGTACCGTTAATAAATAAAAATAAGCTCTGGTTATCTTTGTCTCATCCTTTTGAAATTCTATTTCTGTGTATGTTTTATAATGTATACTAGTGCAGCAGTACATGTAGGTATATACATAAATATATATATGTATCGGGGATGCATGCTCAGGATGTGATCAAAAAAGTTTAGAGGCCACTGACTGAGACCATATCAACTACTAGCAAACAGAAAAATACATCAGCCAGGAAGAGAATAAGTTTAAAATGTTCTTCTTCACAGTTAGTTTTGCCCACTATTATGAAATCTAGTCAAAACTGTTACTCTACTGGTGCTGCAGTCTCAAAATATATGTTGTGCAGAAAAAAATAAAACACAGACTTCCCCCACTGTATGTCACTCCACCATTAATTCATTTTGAAGCTTCTTGACTTGAAAAAATTGAGCATCTAATAAGAAAATGCATGGTCAAACAGCATTTCAACAACATCTCCAACACATCTTGATTATTCTTCCTCTTCTTTATAAATGATGTTTTACTCCCAACCAAGAAGAATTAACCAAAAAGCCGTATGAACATGCAATATGAAGTTGGTATCAACAAAAGGAAAAGTAGAAAAAAAATTAAGGACTAATAATGAACTCAGTTACTTTAAAGAAGCATAGTACTGCATGTAGTGCCCACAGTGAAGCTTCTTGGTATGTCTCTGAATATTCCATTAAGTTCAATTATTTCACATGATCTAATTACTGTTTTAAATTTAGTTTTTAATTCTTATAGTTATTTCCAGTACCAAATAACATTCAAATTAGCCTCTATCAAATCACTTCTGCTTCAGTCTGTGAAATAAATGGTTAATGAACACTCACCGTTGCCATTTTTTCAATATACGTCTTCATAGTTTTCACAATGACTTTTCTGTCCTATCCAAAAGGAAACAGGAAACTCAAATGACCCTAGAATTCCAGTGACTCTGAATAATTAAACTGCTATTTACATTATCAAAAAGATAGCCTCCAATTTGCTTACTAAAGGACAGGCTATTTACCAAAGACTCACATCTGTACTATTAGTCTACACCTAGAACCACTATGAAAAGTTAAACCTGAGTTGTGAAATACTTAATCCCAGACAGGTGCTGTGGTATGTTTACAAGTCCTGCCCACCCATGGGAGATGCCAAAAAAACTTGGAAAAAACCCCAACCCACCACATACATTCACCTCTATTTTGTTCATTACTTAAAGAAGAATGCGTTTCAACTCTTCATTTGGAAGGAAACCTATTCAACAGCACCTGAAACGCCAACTTGTAGCAAAACCCTCTTAAGCGCAAGATTTTTTGTCACAAAGTTTTCTCAGTGCTTGTATTTTTGGTTCTTGCAATCACTGCTCAGTCTTCTTTAGACCCTTACTACCCCTAAATCCTATGAACTTCATTTTTTTTCTGTGCGCTTTGACAAGCACTCCATTTATTCTTTTTTTTTTTAATACAGAAAAAGATAGGAAGCATTACAGTATTTCCAAGAGGTGACAACATACACTTCACCTAAAGTATTTCAATCAGCAGATGAAATTAAATCACTGTTCCTACAACATTTTATAAGTCTTGGCATTCCAAAGCCAAACATGGTTTCACATTATGACTTCTTTACTGTCCTCTCCCTCCTGCCAATTTCACTTGTTATTAAGAAATCTATGGGACAAATGAAAGGCTTTATGTGTCACCTCCAGGATTTCTGCTGAAAATAAAAAAAATAAAAGCAGATGCTTCCACTATAGAAGTTCTAATGAAAGCACTTGATTCCCAAAAATATACTGCTTATGTTTGCCAATAGGTAAAGAGGGGCCAGTATTTAACCTTGCCGTCAAATACTTAACTGCACGAAAATGCGTGCTAGCAGAAGGACCCATGTGGGCTATCATAACCTAGACTAGACTGTTATTAAAGAGGACTAGGTAGAGGGAAACCTAACATTACCTTGGGGGTGCCATGCCATAAACAGTGCATTGCTACTCGGGCTCCATCATGAGTGTGTGCCAGGTAGATGACAGCCTCTCTGATAGCTTCTATCATTTCCTGGGGAAGAAAAGGTGATAATGCAAAAAGGTCAAACAAAAGGCTTGAGAAATCTCATGGTGGGGGGGGTCAAGGGCCTGAAAGAATTTTTTCTGTGCTCACAACACTATGGAACTGGCTCTACAGAATTACTCTCACTGCCTTAACCTATAAAAAGCCAACTCAAAAGGAGTCCAAAAGTCTGTTCAAGACGCCAGCGTTCTCTCTTTAAAAGTACACTGTTCATCAAAATCATCCTATGAAATCACAACTGCATTAAAGCTTGTCAGCTGTCCTATTACATAAAATCCACGTAAGGGTGCTCAGACTAAGACAGAAATTAGAGACAAAGATAACCACTAATTTAGGCACAAATCTTTGAAGGTGATGCAATTCATGTATACACATAGGGTATTAGCCAGAAAGTAAGAACTAAAAAGTCATTTAAGCACCAGGTTATGTTATACACCAGAGAGATGGCTCTGAACTGCAGAACGGGAGCAAAGATGATGGACACAGCTTGAAGACAGGGGAAATCACGCAGGATATCGTTTAATCAAGGTCACATCACACGCATGGATTTAGGCTGTTTTTTGCAAAAATGCCTGAGGTAATCTTAAAATTGCAATTTAATATATAGTGGTATGTCTACAGAACCATATGCTTGGTTCAGAGGAGGCAGCAAAGTTTTGGCTGCTGACAGAAGGGCCCAATTTCATTGTATTTTGGTTAAGAGATTTTTGGACAATCACTGTAAGGGGTTAAGAAACCATGCACTGGAAAGCTAAAGTACTGGAAGCAATGGTCCAACCTTTAATTATTCCCCAGCTACCGAGAAGAAACATTTAGCATTAAGAGAGGAAACAAAGTAATTTCATCAGATTTTTTTTTTTTAAAATTCAAGTATCACAAACACCTGCTTTAGTGTGCAAGCTCACTGTGTTAACCTCCATACAGCACTACTCGCCAGACACCTATCTAGAATCACCAGATGTGAAAAACTCTGAGAATGAAAGATGCGTACTTTTGTCCATCTCATCTACAACGCTTTTACAAGAAGACAGAAAAGACCTCACTGAAAGACAAAAACCAAAATAAGCATACTTACGGATCTTTGTTTTGGAAGAGCAAAAGTGAAAAAGTCCAAAAATACTTTATGTACCAGTGAGTGCTTTATCACCGCCTCTCTGTATTTGGGAAGATGAAAATAAGCAACAAGTCCTCCATAAATAATCATTTTAACATACGCTACCGATACCTCTTTTGTATTCAAAAAAGCTAGCCATGCACAGAAAAGTCATTTTGGATTAGGTGTTTGGCATTTACTAGACGTAATTATCAATTCTAAAACCTATTTTCTCATAAAAGAAACTTATCTAAAAATGCATTATGGAAACACATCACAGTGTGGGATTTCTAGCAATTGTTTGACTGGGGCAGAGGAGACTTCAGTTTACAGAATGCAGTTCAAAATTAAGATATGATACTCATTATGACACTTCAGATAAAAACATACTTACTTACTATAAAATACAGTAATGTTGGAGCTTAGGAGAGTATCAATATCACTGTCATAGGAGTATCAGTATCACTGTCTGCTCGTGTGTCAGAAACAAACTGGTTCATGCTAAATTGTCACATCTTAAATCAGATTTTGTTCTTACTTTTGTGCCATTGGTGTAAGAATCTGTTTCATTTCATCCAAGATGGCCTCTCTCTTTTCAGGCTGAGCTTCTAACACTTTATCCAGTGTTGGGAGAACAGGTGTCTGAAATGAATGTGCAATTGTTTCCATTAAGTACCAGAGTTCTTAGGAAATTATAACATTTAGTCCCTTTTCTATCAAAATTCAAGAACAATATCAAAACCAAAATGAATTTTCTGCAAAATTAACAGTTTTTACAATTTAAAAGATGAAAATCTGCCTTTTTTGAGTATGTCAGAAGCTGCAAATTTAAGTTTCTACAAATCAAATGTTATTTATTAGTAAATAAAAAAAAACTTCTTTAGTCTGACCTGCTTTTTGCCAGTTATGTCAGTTCTTCATGAGACTGGCAGATACAAGGTAAAATAGACAAAACCAGTACTGTGTTAAGGTGCTCCCGAGCCAAGCACAAATCCTGCACAACAGTACGTGCACATAAGAGGGCAACACTAAAAGTCAATGAACTGACAACTTAACAGGTCCAGGAAATTCCAGTTCAAGAGCAGCAGAGAGAAGGAATATATACTATATACCTTAAGTACAGAAGCACTTCCTGATATCTCAACTAAAGAATTACACTGGTAACTCTTCTAAAATAATCCACTGTTAGAAGAACAGTCTGACTAAACAGAAAATTAGAAGGTATTTTTAATGGGCCCTGCTATGGCTGGGGGAGGGAAGGTAGAGAATTGGAAGCAGGAGGAAGAGTGAACCACACAATTCAACAAAACTCCTAGAAATTCCAGGTCTTTTTTAAAGACTACATTGTAATTTTTTTATAAATCCAGTGTTGAGTCTCAGGTTTGGACCACAATGTATGACCACTTGAAGCACTTATGCCAAGAATGCTAGAATGATGGAAGTTAACACTGCATTTGATTTCACAGGCTGCTAAACAGATCATGTTTCATATGCTAAACCACCTTAAACTACAAAGTATTGAAACACTACCTTGTAAACTTTGAAAGTGTTCCCATATAGTTCTTCTGTCAGCATATTCCTTTGCTCCAGAATGGCTTTGTCATTATACGCATATTCCACTATAGCAGATGCTTCAGAATGACGGAGCAATTTTTTCACATGGCCTTTAAAACACTTTATTATTTCTGCAACTTGTGGTTTTGTCCTGTTTCACAAGGAAATATAAGAAGAAATAGTTGAGACTTTTAGACATAACTTTACCTATTCATAGAATCATAGAATCATCAAAGTTGGAGGAGATCTCTAAGATCCTTGAGTCCAACCATTAACCTGTCACTGCTGGAACCACTAAACCCTCAACCAGATCCTCCAGTGTCACATCCAGACACCTCATAAACACTTCCAGGGATGGTGACTGCACCACCTCCCTGGTTTTTTCCTAAAAATATTCACGGTTAGGCACTAGAATTTTCACCCTACAAGCTAAAAAATATTTTCCTAACACCTAATCTGCATCTCCCTGCCTCACCTTATGACCATTCCCTCTAGCCCTCTCACTGCAGGAATGGCAGAAGAGAACATCCCCCACCTCTCTACAACTCCCTGTCAGGCAGCTGTAGAGAGCAGTGAGGTCACCCCTGAGCTGACTCTTCTCAAAGCTAAACAAACCCAATACCCACAGCTGTTCCTCATAGGACATGTGTCCCAGACCTTTTATGAGCCTTGTAGCCCTTCACTGGATGTGCTCCAGCACCTTAATGTCCTTTTCAGTGACAGGCCCAAAACTGAACACAGTACTTGAGGTGTGGCCTCACCCATGCTAAGTACAGAGGCCTGATCACTTCCTAGCAGTCTTCAAAAAAAACCCAAACACAAGTTCACTTTGTCTCCCTTGGCCAAAAAAGTAGTGTGAGAGGTGCCCTGAGGTGCTATTGCTTAAAATGAGAATGTATTAGGAACTTCCAGTGTCCTAAGGCTTCTTGTCTTTCCCCAGCCTGCAGCACTGCACAGGGTTGTTGAGTCCCAAGTGCATGACCAGCACTTTGCCTATTGATAGCTTTATTTTTGGAAACACATTAATGTAGTAAGTTTTAGCACAGAAACCATGAAATATATACATCTGGAACATCCTTGCAGCATTTATGAAAATACAGCAGGAAAGCCAGGAATAGGGAGAAATTACAAGGTATTTGGATGGAAAAAACCCACCAGTGGATAAATTCTACAGAATAAAGAATATCATCCTGAAACACTAACTAGAGAAAAATCTTTAAAGCCTGTCCTTTGTATAGGGTGAAGATCAACTTTGAGCGCAGATCTGACCATTTTTGGCATGTTTTCCTCGATGCATACAGCTTTAGCGTTACTTTTTGCAAAAGGAAAGCTGCTCTTAGCAATACTAGACACTCCCCTGTCTCATCCTTATTATAATGATGTTTCTAGAGACACATTTTTTTTTTAGTCATGATCGATGGACTATAGATTAAGAGCAGCAGTCACACTGGAAATGAAACAAGGCAACACAGATTAGCAGATTCACTTCATACTCACCCATACATGAGAAATTTCTTCACAATATTTCTGGAATATTTTGACTTGCTCAACTCCACTAGGCTGTCTAGAAGAAGAGAGAAGCATTGAGCTAATTTTTCACTACATTAACTCTACAAACCAAGATGTCATTACTTAAATAACTTTGAAGAGCTCACTAGAAATGATGCATTAATTCAGAAAAAAAAGTTAAAACACTCAAGAGGAAATAATGTGCCTTGTTTAAGTGCATCCTAACAACAACAGAAAAGGATATACATAAAATGTAAATGGGAAGAAAGTACCTTTGAGTTCTTCAAATGTCTCTTGTCTTTGCTTCGCATTACCATACTGAATAAAGCACTGGATCACTCGAGTGGAATCATGTGCAAATGCCAACTAAAGGACAGAGATATTTCATTACCCCAAGTCATTCAAAAGGCATTATGCACCACATTTACTTTAATGTACGTGCTCTCTGGTATATGTTTTATGCCATGTGTAGCATGTAATGGCAATTATAAAAGCAGTTACCTCTTTTTAACAAATTTAAGGGTTTTTTACCACTTTACAAGTATTCTATCAAATGAAATACAGAGAATACTTGCAGTTCCGACAATCAGGACATGCATTTAAGTTTTTAATACCAAAATAAAACCATTAAATGGCATCTCAGCTTTTTTTTCTAATTTCATAGTGAGTGTGATGAGACAGTTCCACTTTAGTATGGAATACCAAGAATCACTTAAAAATCCAACATGCATTTCACTACAAATTTATACATTTCAAGACCAGAAAGACTGTTAAGTATATTTAAGTAACAGGATGCTAACTTCTCTAGAAAGCTGCAAAGCAAGAACCATAATTAATCAGAGCTCTGAGATTCTGAACCTGAGTTAACACAGAACTTCACTGGATTAAAGCTGCTTGGCAAAACAGACAACCTTGTAATAGCCAGTTGACAGACACAGTATCCCAGGATTACTCTCCTGAAATCCAGGTGCCAAATGCAGTCTTTCAGCCCTGTTTTAGTTCTTTTTACTCAGTTCAAAAAGATTCCCTGCAGCTTTCGGACAAGCAGGTACTATAGTACTATACTGTTAAAAGTTCATTTATAGTTCACCGTTATTTATAAAAGCTTTCGTGAATTGGTGCACTATGCCATTAGTTTTTCTTACATTTTTCATTTTCCCCTGAAGAAGCTTCTGTAGTTCATTCATTAGCTTTTCTCGCTTCTCATTATCACATTTCTTCCTACAAGCAAAAAAAGCCCCAGTAAAACAATTTTAATCGAGGAAGCAGCAGTTTTGTAGTATGATTCATTTGTATCTATAAATTAAGAAGCAAGACAGTACAAGATAAAACTAGGTTAGCCTCTGCTAATCCAAATTTACATGGTCATTCATTAAGCCTGTAGACAGGGGTAATTCAGCAGATTCAGTTCCTGAAATCAAACCAGATTTCCACACTTTAACCTTTTTCTTTTTTTGAGCAATATTATTTGAAACATAAATTCAGATTTGTAGTTAGATCCAAAGATCTGTAAGCAAGATCTTACAGCCAAAACTCCAAAGCACAGACACTTGGAGCAAGCAAAATGAACTCCTCTTTCTAATATGAGGTCCCAGTTCTGGAATTACACCCCAGAAAGTACATGAACCTCCACAAAACTCATCCAATGATCCCACTGCAAGATTAGAGTGAATCAGTCATTGCTCTGTGCTTCAGGATTCAAAAAAACCCAACAAAACAAAACCAAACAAGACCGTAAGACAACTCCTTAAGCATTTATCACAAATTTTAGCCTAAAATGCAAGTTCGCTCCAGGCATTGCTGGCACCATGGGTCACCATACTCTGAACCATCTACAGAATTGCATCTAATAATTTTGTTCACCCATGGAGTTTCACTGTGCAAATACAATTTTATATAATTACAAAATGAGAAAGAGTATGCTGGCAATTTATGACTAAAAGTCAACAGAATGAAAGAAAAATGAAATCATTATTACCTTCTCATATTTTCCCATATTTGCTTTGATTTTACAATTATGTCATAATTACTTTTATCATTAATTTGTCTGGCTTGCTTTAACTCCTTCCTTTTCTTTTTGAAATCACTCCACTTTGGCTTCTTGGAATCTGACCCTTAAGACAAAAATAAATACATTTTCTACAGTCAGTAAAAGAAGAGCAATGGAATTCTTTTATCAGTATAAACTGTGGTAGCTCTATGACTTGAATTGCTAACCATTCAGGACTTTCGCCTGCAGTTACCCAGCCAGCTAACACTAAAGCATAAATATTGACCAAGTATGCTAAGCTAGCAATTGCCACTTCTAGAATATTGGAAGAACAAGTCAAACAATTAATTTTCCTCAAAGTTGTCAAAGGATGCATTGCAAGTCTCTTAATAGCTTGAAAATTGACTCAAGATGCACCCCCAAATAATTCTGCCTTTTAGTTCGTTCTGTCTTCATACATACTTTTCCCTTTCTCAAAAGAAGAGCCCTAACTCAAAGACACACATCTGAAATGTCAGAAAAAGGAAAAATAATATAATGCCTTTTTATATGCTTAATCTTTTTATTCAGTCAAATTCCTTACACCTAGGATTTTACTATACAACAGCTGCACCCTGCCATACAACAAACTCAGCCAAGTAAGGTTATAAAACAGAAAAACTTCAAGAATTTGATTTTAGTTCTATTCACACCCTGACAAAAGACACCATCTTATACTACATGGATTTACAGAAGCAAGTCATGCAAACTATTACTTCTAAAGGGAACAATAAAGATACTGAACAATAAAATACTCAACATCATCTACTGCCCTTCAAACAAATAACATTTTTCTGCATAACTGGAAAACCTCTCACATTAAGAATCCACTTTTCATTTTACAATGCTATGAGCACAAGTGCTATGAGAGGAGGCTGAGGGAGCTGGGGTTGTTTAGCCTGAGGAAGAGGAGGCTCAGGGGAGACCTTATCACCCTCTACAACTCCCTGAAAGGAGGTTGGAGTCAGGTGGGGGTTGGTCTCTTCTCCCAGGCAACCAGCAGTAGGACAAAAGGGCACAGACTCAAGCTCTGCCAGGGGAGGTTTAGCTTGGATATTAGGAAGAGATTTTTTACAGAGACAGTAGTCAGGCATTGGAATGGGCTGCCTGGGGAGGTGGTAAATTTACCGTTCCTGGAGGTTTTTAAGTTGGGACTGGATGTGGCACTTAGTGCCGTGGTCTAGTAACCACGATACATTTGGACTTGATGATCTTGGAGGTCTTTTCCAACCCAGTTGATTCTATGATTCTATTTGTCCCAGTAGAGCTTTGCTTCACAGCAGAGGAAGGGACAACATAAAGATCTCATGCAGAAGAAACAAAGTTAAAAAAAAAAACATGGAAACAGTGAAAAAATGAGACAATTTAGTCTGTCTAAAGAAACAAACAAAAAGCCATAAAATGTAAAAGCAGTGATAACACCCGTGATGTCTTTTTTTTTTTGCGGTGATGACCAGATAGTGTGGACCATGTAAACAAAATATCGGATAATCAACACTGTTTCATGAATTTCTATTGTAAAGTTTATAGCAAGTACTTTAGAACAATTTCATTTCCAGAACAGTCTATGAAAAGCTCCATATTTTCCAAATGTGTGGTGAAATGACCAGTTTCAAGCCAGCTACTTAATACTGTCATTAAAACACACAGCCCCAGGATGGCATGCCAATTATTTAAATTTGCTACTGCATTTACTTTTGACTTCTAAGAAAATTAATAAACTGTTGATTCTCATGACTTTGGCCTGAAGCTCAGTCAAGTGAAGATATTTTTCCCACAGCAACAATTAAACAGGAAGTAAACCTGGATTTATTCAGCCAATTTGGAAAGGTGATAAGGCAGGGGGCAAGAGAAGACCTAGAGGAACAGTGTGTTTTCCAAAACCTGTTTTCCACTGATATCCATGCTTAAAAATCTGCTCACCTCCCTCTTCACCATCTTGGATCTTCCTCTTCTTTGCAAACTTTTCTGGTTGCTGTTTATTCTTAAATTGCTTGACAGTAGCTCTTCCAGGTTTTAACTGTCCTTTAACAAATTTCTTGGAAATGGATTTAGGTTTTCCCTCCTCATCTTCTTCGTTAGAGCGTTTCTTTGGTGGGCCTGAATCTATGAACCAACAAAACAGAAATTAAAATTCTATCATAGAGCTACTGCTACTTCAAAATAAAAAACACAGTATTATTCTAACAAGGATTAAACTACTTTGCAGTAACAGTTCTACATTTAACAATAACTCTTACGTGCTTCTCAAAGCCAGTATTTTCACTGCAGCCCTTGGGTGGGTTTCTCTAAGGAAGTTTTGCCCAGGCATTATTTTCTCGGAGCAGTGTAACAGGTCAGGTGTAAAGAAGATTATTGCACATTAAGAATTTCACCATCCCTGACATCAAAAAGTCATCAATCCCCAAATCATCTTTTCACAGTTTATGGTCAGAGCTGCTTTGACATCATCTGTCCTGAGGAGAAGAGAGCAAACACTGAAAGGTATCTTCTCAATCCAAACCCATGGCACTTTCACACAACCTTACTTCAAGTCTCAAATAGACTTTTCCCTTAATGTGGGAAAGCAAAAGGTTATAAATTTGAAATTTTTAATTATTTTAGGTGAATCAAATCAGGCTGAAAGGCTTGCAATGCAACCTACTTAAAGCATTTCAGCTTTACTCTTTTTAAGTCAGTTGCTCACAGAGTCAGTAAAGTTTTGAATGCAAGATAAGCCACAGAATAGCTGAGGTTGGAATCCACCTCTGGATGTCATCTGGTCCAACCCTCCTGCTCATGCAGTGCCACACAAACCTGGCTGCCCAGGACTATGTTCAGGTGACTTTTGACTATCTCCAGTGAGGGAAACTCCACCACTAGTACATGGGGCTGTTCTGCAAAGCTGCAGGACGTTGCCCTTCATGCCCTG